CTTATTTTCTGCTATAATGTCTCTCATAAATTGAAACTCTGAATTAGTAGGCTGATTGTCCAGCTAACTCTGAGCATCAACATATTTTCACTTTATCTGACGCTGAGGTGGCAGATATGCACCATGTGCTTAGCTTTTAATTGATGTTGGGAATAAAAAACAATTCCTCATGCCTGGCCAGCAAGCACATTACCCCCTAAGTCTTTTCTCCTACCTCTTATTGCTAAATTTTTCATGGTCTTCCAGATGTCAAATTATAATTTTTCTCTTCTGAAACACTTTGTGATTTCATTGTTCAAACAGGATTAGATTGTTAACAAAACTAGCACCTTTGTAATACTTCTGTTGACCACTTTGTAATTGCTGCTGTGGTTATCCATTGCACTCACTCTGGTGTCTGGTTCTTATGAGTTGATACCTGTAACAGTGTGCATGCAGAAGGATGTGTACCTTGTGTGGAACATATTAATTGAAGTTCTGGACAAGCTGAACACTTTACAAGACACAACAGAGATATATAAAATCAGAGGGAGTTTATCATGCGGGAAGCAGTACATCTCAGCAGCATCGCACTGACCAGGCACGAAGCCTCAGATGGTCACTCAGTATGCCATCATTGTATCAGTATCTCCGACCTGAGAAACAGTCAAAGAGTTTTCAAAGACACATACGGGAGACATTACTGCCAGTTATTTTGAATTTTTCATTGTTGTTATGAAGATTATCTATAGTCAAAGAAATTGAATCACAAAGTATAGTATGAAATTCATAAAGCTGCTTCAATAGAACTTCTTGGAAAACTAATCACTGTACTGAGTTCTAGTGACTGTTGCCTTTAAATCACATAAATCATATACAAACATTGTAAACTTTTTCCTTTTAATTGAAGTAAATTCTTATTTTATCTCCAAGGAAAGACACATCTTCAGTAGTGCGATAGGATCTCTAAGCACATAAAGGATGACTATTTCTTATGAACCCAGTGTCTCTTGGACATGTGAGGACTGAGGTCAAAGCACAGATATGAAGCAGGGAGCTGGGTTAGATTTTATCACATTTGTTCTGGTTTTCGTTATGTTTCTGCGACAGAACACCCTGTCAAAAACGGATCTTGGTAGAGAAAGGCATTTATCCAACTTATAAATCTATATTGCAGCCCATAATTGCAGTGAAGTCACAGAGACTAGTGAGACAAATACCTATTCTCATTGTAGGTATAGTTAAGAGCAGAGAGAAAGAAATCTGTGCAGGCCTGCCTGTTTCATTGCTCCTTCTCTGTTTCCTCTCCTGTACAATTGGTTTAGGATACCCTGCCTCAGAAATATAGTCACTAAAAGTAAAATACAACATTCAAAAGTAAAGACTGTCCATCACATTTATGCCTACAGGCTAATATAATGTAGATAATTCTTCAATTAAGACTCTTTTTCCATGTAATTCAAATTGTGTTAAATTAACAGTTATATCCTGCTTGGTCCAGCCTAGGTGCATAAGGAGCAGTGAGACGCAGTTCATGCCCATGGAGCATCACCAGGCCATTGATCCCCTGTGTGGTGATGATTACTTTTGGCCTGAAACTGATCTGCTGTCTCTTTTATTTTACTTTCGATCTCTCTTTAGGTGTTCTTGAAAGCCTGGGCAGATAGCTTGATCAGTAAAATGCTTGCCATGCAAAGATAAATTTCCTGAGCATGGCTCGCCAGAGTTAATGAAAAAGCCAGGTCTGATGATCTGCAGTGTTTCCAGTGCCGAGAATATTGAGACTTGTGGACTTAGTGGGCTCTATTGCTAACCAGTCTTACCAGTCTGAGCTCTGAAGTCAACCAATGAGAGACCCTGCTTCAAAAATGTAGGTGAAGATGAACCACGGGATACACTCTGCTCATCTTTAGCCTGTACAGGTGCACAAGTGGATATGCACACTGGCATATGTGCATGCTATGTACACATACAAATCAAATACACAAAGACACACACCAAACGTAAGTTCTAACTTGTAGAGAATTTACAGATTACAGCCGTTAAAGCACAATGTATGTTAGAGTAAAGATGATAAGAGGTGTATGATCTTGGAAAATCCAGCTAGTTTCCCAAGATAAACAACTCTATTCAGAATACTGAAGGATGGGGAGAAAGGAGCATAATATAAAAACTTTTCCTATTGAAGGACCCTCTGCACAGAGAGGACTGGCTTTTTGGGGCTGCTGCATTCCAAAGGATGCCTATGATATTCCGAAGCAGCTAGATTGAATTTCTACACCATCTAACTTTAAGAATTATTAAATAAATATTTTAAGAGCTTTTCAACTCCTAACCTTTCTTTCTTTTTTTTTTTGATGTTTTCTTAAATCTATAAAATGAAGTTCTCAACTTCATTTTATAAATAAGATAAAATAAAGCAAAGAGCGTTCTAGATGAACATAAAAGCAGGAACTCAACCATTAAGAAATTTGTTTAGTAAGCTTTTTTCTTTTTAGGATGTGAATCCGTTTCCTTTGAAGAAGCATCCTCATTACTATGTTTAGTTCTAATTGTTGTTTTTTTTTTTAGTATAAATTTTGCACTATCATTTTCAATTAAAAGCTGTAACTATATTCATATATTCATTGTGTATTTCTGTATTTAGTGTACTATGTATTGTATATGGAAAACAACTTTTGAGAGTCCATTCTGTCCTTCTGTGTGGGATCTTTTTCTGTGCAGTCAAACAGATTTACCTGTTGAGACATCTTATCAGAATCCACTATTATTTTTAAATAGTAATACACACATGCACACACACACATGCACACACACTCACACACACAGGTGGGGGAGAGACAGAGACACACAGAGAGACAGAAAGACAGAGAGAGACAGTGACAGTGAGCGAGACAGTGATATATAGAGAGAGGGACATAGAGAGACAGCAAGTGGGAGAAGAATAAAGAAAAAGATTTGTCTCACTATTATAAAAAAAAAGAAAGAAAAAGAAGATAGATATAATTTGAGTGTTTCAACATTAAAAGGACCCAATAAAATTTTATGGGGTACTTGTAGAGGCCATAGTGCATTTTATTACAAATTTTTATTTCAGGAATATATTTGTAAAAGAGGTTATAACTACATCTCAAAAAAATCACTTTACTTTTATTTTCAGTTGTAAACAGCAAATTTCTGTACATATTTATGCAAAAAATGTGTTCTCTGAATGCACAGCACTGCTTATGTGTACTAGAGAGAAACATGAGACAACAGGGTTGATAAATGTAGTGTGATACATTGCTTTCAATCCACTTCTGGCCTGCCACTTGACCTATTCTTTAGATCATTGTATTGGTAATACATTCCCTGTGACAGTCTGCTACCTCTGGGACTATAAACCTAAAGTGTTTGCCATTGTGTAAGTTTGATGAAGAGTATGGAGGTAGATACCCCTAGGGAATAGAAAGACAGTGAATATTAACTTTCACAGGAGGATACAGAGAAAAGAAAAGGGGATTCAAGCACTATGACAATGAGTAAGAATATCAATTTTGAATACAATCATGATGTTTTCCTATGATGGATAGCAATGGGAAAACTGAGTGTGTTGAGGAAGGTCAAATAAATGTGAATATGTGAAGGATTGGATCACAATCATACTTTTTGGCCCAAATTTGAGTAAATGTGCTTTATTCCTTACTCTCCATCTTAGTGTGACACGGTACTATGTTCACAATGTTTTCTGCTCTCTTGTATACTCAAGATGAGTTTCTGATGTCTGGGGGAATTCTAACTGTACACTGCAGCTGACCTTACAAAGTGGGCATAGCATCATGTATTATGCACTTGGACCATGGATCAATCATCTCAGGCAGCCATGATGCAAAGCTGAAATGAGCATAATTCTGGGATAAGGAAGCCAGTATATGTGGGTCTTCTATGTCAGGTTTCCATATAGAGGAGCTTTCAAGTTAAAAATTAATGATATTTACACTATAGCAGCCATAATTATGTTTTTTATTTAATTTTTAAAATTTATTTATTAAATTTAATTTATTTATTTAATTTTTATTTATTATATAATTATGTAATTAGGCTGTAATGCTTTAATTTTCTGGATCTCTCAATTCTTTTCTTCCTCATCACACACAAAAGCAAGAAAGGAAAATACTTCATATAATTTCCCAGACTCTTTAAAATTCCCCTTAATTCCCATCCATTATGTAAGTACTGAAGTTGGGATACAGTGGACTTGTTTCCTGACCTTGTGGACAATGAAGAGTTGCTTGAAAAATACTCTCTTGGTAAAATTGAAATGTCATAAGGAGCCATGAAAGTTTAGATTGGTCACCTTGCCTTAAGTAGACCACACTTGAACTAGAGACATTACAGTTCAGTGTGTACAAACAGTAAGGCCTTGTCTCTCTCAGTCACAGAAAGAAGAAGATGATTGCTAGAAAACCATGTCATGGGAGTGACTATGTCACATGTCATGTTCATGTTCTCCCATTCCAGTTACAAAATAGGTCAATGGGTGTGCTTGTCAAAGTGTATCTCTTACTTCTACTTTCTTTCTCCTCCCTATCCACCATCCTTCCTTCCTTCCTTTCTTCATCTCTCTCCCCTTTCTCTTTCTTTGTAGTTGTTTTTCTGAGGGAGGGTCTCACTGTGTCTTCCAACTGGCTTGAAAACCCTGCAGTCTCAGCCTGCAAAGTACTGAAATTACAAATCTACACTATTGTGGTGATCTCAAACTGTAATTTTAATTCAAAGGGGAACATACACAAAACCACCACAATAATAACAACAAAAACAACAGCAGCAACAGCAGCACAGAGGTACACTCACTTTAATTAGTATCTATAATCAGAAGCTTGTATTTCAACTCTGATGAACATATGGATATTTTTTTAAATTGAATGCTGAGTCACTGAGACCTAGAAAACAGCCATCACCAATTTATGAAAAATTTAATCAGGTCTTTCTATGTTGTGTTTGCTATTCTTAATTCTAACCCTAATTTTTTTTCTTTCAAGGAAGTTTACAGATTCATTATCGACTAGGCAAGGGAGAAAGTCACATGTTCATCATCAGCGTAGAGAATCTGGCCAACAGAAGAGTGCACCAGGTGAAGATGAGACGAGATGGGTCAGAACTTTCCATTCAGGTACTTCACTTCTCACCTTTCCACACAGCCTACATGTCAAGGCTTCTTTATCAAATATGTCTAAGCTCAATGAAACCACATAGTACAAAGCAGATTTACCCCAGTCTCTGGTCTAATACTTAGCCAAGTTCTTCCTATCCCATTGGCATCACCAAAGAGCTACAAGTACAAATTCTAGAATTCCCTCACCAGAGCTATTCCATCAGAAACTTCTGGAGAAGAGAAAGCACTGGACATCCTAGTTTGGCTCAAGTTTAGTCAGCTGTTACCCAGAATGAGTAACAAGAATGATGCATGAAAATAGCAAAGAACATACAGAAGACTAGCAAGGCCTGTAGGGGAATTGGGCATAGGGTACAGGTGGGCATATAGGAAAGCACAGGTGATACAGAAGCCCTCATGAAGCCAAAGGTCTCTTCTACACATTACTACTCATTGCTACTTTCCTCCTAGTGAAAACTGGGTCTTGTGGACAAGGAAGAGCTACCTGGGCAGAAAAGAACAAGATTTTTAAAGGGTTTATATGTACACATGCAGAACTATTTGTGAAAACAATGTGGTAGGCTTCTGTGAAATATTAGTGATACTGAATAAAGATCCAACAACAGATCAGGATATATCTTATAAAGACTAGCAAAAGTCTATAATACTCCTCTCTGATCATAAATGAGAAGGTTAATCAGCTTATCAATTACGATTTGGCTTAGATAACTTTAATTCATTCATTCATTATCCTCCAAATTTGTCACAACAAATGCCCTCCTTTTTTCCTCTCTACCAACAAATGCAATGCATTCTTTCTCAGAATATGACTTTGCTCTCTTAATCTGTGAATTATATATCCTTTAGAAGAGGCATCACACATTCTCATTTGCCTGTCCCCCCTTACTTGGACCTGAGAGCTTGTGTGTGTTCTCTGTCTCTTGCATGGCTATGCTCAATAGTCCTGCCCTACTTGTTAGTCAGATCTCATGGTATTCTCACGCACATATCTCCAACTTCCTTCTGTCTTCTATCCTTTTTATCACCTTTCCAGTTCCACTAAATAGTTGCCTGATGCATAAAGTAATTATTGACTGCACCAAAAGCAAGCAAGTAAAGCAACCAACCACAATCTTTCTGGCTTAGAGAAAGAAATATATTTTTCATTATTTATTCAGACTGCTAGACTCTTGCCACTTTATTGTCTTGGAAAACTTGATATATGCTGATTTCCAATGGTGCATCTTCCATGTAAGTTACCATATTCATTGCTATGACAACATGCTTTGGAAAAAATTTAAAGGAATTCTTGGTTAGTGTTTAGGATCACAGGCCATCACTTCCACAGGAACTCAAGGCACCTGGTCACATTCCATTTTCAATCAAAAACAGAGAGAGAGAGAGAGAGAGAGAGAGAGAGAGAGAGAACAAGAGAGAGAGAGAAAGAGAGAGAGAGAGAGAGAGAGAGAGAGAGAGAGAGAGAGAGAGGAATGCTGGCAGTCAGCTCACTTTATTCCAGAACTTCAGCTTTTGGAATGGTGCTATACTCACTTGAGGTGAGCTTTTCACCTCAGCTAATCTAGTCTGGAAACTTTCCCACAGATATGATTAAAAGTTTGTTTCTGGTGATTCTAAATTCCATGTTGTTGACAATCAACATTAACTACTATAACCTCCTCCCCCTTTTCCCACCATGTTACACAAAAATTGTATTACTAAGATATACGTAAGTTTACTTTGCAGAAACACAGTGTTGGAGTGTTATGTGAATATTTCTGGGGAAGCATGAACAAATGTCTACTCACTCCATATAGGGATCAAACAGCAAATCAACATAAGGATTCCCCTAAGTCTAAACCATTAGTGAGCCAATGAGTTTCACTGAAATTACTAACAGGAATATGGATGAGAGGTTACAGGAGCAGAAATGACTTAAAGACAACTATGTCATCAAAATCCATTCAGGAATGGTTGGCAAATCACTAGAGTTATACACCTGCCATGCACTGTACAAGTTGTAGGGAGAGCAATAGGTAAGAAAGTGCTTCTTTTATGCAACTCATTTTGTGGAGATAAGTCCCTAGATCTAGTGTATCTGGCCAGTTTCAAGGATTTCCTGAAGACTTTAAATTATTTACTTACCAAGTTTAATGAGAGTCCCCAGTGTATGTAATATTTCACTTCCCCAAGTATAAACAACCATGCTTTCGCAGCAGGCAAAGGTTACCTAACATGACCAGTGAAGGAATAAAACCAGGCTCTGATTGGAGGGGCTGCAGCAAAACTGAGGCTGTGACAATTTTATTGACAACAATAAGATTATTTTATACCCTGATAAAAAATAGAACACAGTGGTGATTTCCAGGATCATACAGTTGTAGTGGCCAAGATAAAATGATATTTTCAAGCTGTACAAAGCACACAAGATTCATGTCTAAGCCAATTGTCCTGTTAAGGTTCCAACAGAAAATATAGAGAAACACTTCACTGCCTGAGGGCGAACCTCAGTTTCTAAGGAGATGAAAGGCACACAGTGGTCCAGAACTCACAGATTCTAACTGGGAAAACCTATAGTACATATTTTTCATGGGATCTAGACAAGGACAACTCCATGGTTCTTTGCATCCAAGCTTTTCTCCAACAGAGGAGGTTACTACACAACATGGGGCGTGACAGCCTAGATTGTTTTCAGTCTTTGGGATTTGATTTACATTTTGTTTGAATAATACTGTTGTTCTGTGAGTTTTTTTTCCTACTTCACCTGTTGATCACTGGTGTCTCTTTATAGGTCTTCTTTTGTCATCTCCCCTATCCACTGGTGCACACAGTATTCGACTACACCACTACTATTTTATAGCTATAATCATGGGATGGGTTATCTTAGTCAATCTCATAATTTTGTGTATCCTGCATTTGTCAATATATCAATGTCTACTGATATCCAGAACTCTCCTAATGTCCTGCAAACAATTCTCTTGACTTTTCTCTTACACTGTCCATTATCCTTGTGTAATTTTATTCTTTTCTCTTAGTAACCCATGTTATGTGACATGGAATATAATTTACTTAGTTATGTTTTGTCCTGTAACCCTCCCATAGAATGTAAGTTTTATGAAATCAGGAACTTGGTTTGCATTTATTATTTCAGAGTTCCCTCTTTACCAAACAGTCTCTAACAGCAGGTCTTCAGTAAACATTTCTGAACAAAGTGGATGGGTTCCACATGGTTGCAGGTAAAATGTGCAAAAGATTGATTTGACCTTGTGGGGAAGTTAAGGTATTCTAGTTTCTTTTCTGATGCTGTGATAATCTGAACCAAAATCAACTGGTCAGAAGATGTTTATTTTAACTCATAATTCCAGGATAAAAGTCTACTCTAAGAGTGAAGTCAAGGTGACTGAAACTTAAAACAGCTAATCATTTCAGTGTTCAAGAACATCAAATGCATCAAACTGCACTCAACATTTTTTGTGGGTCCTAGGACCAAACTCAGGTCCTTGTACTCCTATGACAAACACTTCACAGATTAAATTAGGCCCCCAACACCTTGTTTGCTTACAATTTTAATGAAGCTCTCATGAGAAAATGGGGCATGTTCTGTTGAGCATTTTACAAATCACATATTATGTACCTTTATATTTTCTGTCCTCTTCACAAATAAGACAATAGAACAAAGAACTGTGAGATGTATATGTTTCCTTTCTCTGTCTGTAATATTTACCAATCAATCTATAGTCAACAATAAGCAATCACTTGATATTTGCCAAGTGCTGAATAAAGCAGAATAATCTAGAGCAGAGAACTTATGTTTTGTCAAGTTGGTTTGTTGGCTCAGGATGATAGTATGTCTGCTTTTATGATCATCCCACCCCACCTCAAACCAATATATGCATATACATAAACACATACAAATACACACACACACACACACACACACACATACACACACACACACACATTCTCTTTCATCTAAAACCAACATTGTTTAATGCAAGCAAGCAAACAAACAAACACAACAATGGCAAAACGTGGATCCCTGATATATCCCTGACTGCCAATCATCCTGTATGGAAACTTTCAGAAATGCTGTACACCTGTCAGAAAGAATGGACAGGTACTTATGACTGCAGTCAGGCATTAAGTAAGATCCCAAGCACTCCTGCATTTCCCCTTCCTCTTCCCTGGTAATATGGCTATTAACATTGCCTTTTGAAGGACAGGAAGAGAAACTTGGCTACTTGGAGACAGAGATAGGGATCTTGAGTCAGAAACAAGACTGTGCACAGCTGTTTACGTACTAATGTGTGTCTTGACTAAGTTACTCAGCTTTGTGACTTCTCTTTCTCTGTCACTAGGTTGATCTATGTCATAGCATTCTAAGGAAAAACAAAGTAAGAAATATGCATTTGTGTCCTGTTCACACATTATTTAGTAAATAGGAAAAATTATAGTTTGCTTAAAAAACAATGAAATAGAATCAAATCACGCACTATGGGTATTAGTTTGTACTAAGGTTTTGTGATAAACTATAAGGTCTGGAGATTATTGAAGAGAGTCACTCAGTGGATGTGTGTAGAAAGAAAGTTGTAGAAGGAAGATCTAGATGGAAAGGTAGGTAGGTATTCATCTTGACCCATTTGATTTTCCTTAAGCAGAGCTAGCTCACTCACCCCATCATATGACTGTTTCTCTTCCTTTCTAGCTTCTTTACTATAAAATGTTGAGGATATTATCATTCGGATGTTCAACACGGAGAGTGGAGGGTAGGGATAGCGGGCAGCTGGCAGGGCTCAAGTGATGAAGAATTTGCCTTGCAAGCATGAGCATCCACGTTCAAATCCCATAAGTCTTATATTAATCTAGGAGGGATGATAAGAACATACTTGTAATCCCACAATGGTAAAAGAGCATATAGGCCTCTCACCTCGGCCCAGCCTCAGGTTCGTACACAGGGTTCCACTGTCTGGGCCCGCACCTCTGTGCTTCTCTACGTTGCCAGCTCCTCGGAGCAGGGATGC